ATCCCCATTAATTTGAAATTGCTGGCAACTGATCTGGAACAGAGACAAATTTGCTTTGCTTTGCAAATTTGCTCCGTTCAGCAACCTCTAAAAAGTGTATGTTTAGGTGACAACATCAGTGCAGATGTTTAAATAATTGTTCGTTCCACACCTTAATAACCGGCCCCCAAAGCTAAGCTCAACTACAAAAACAATGAAGCTTTAAAATTCTTTCTTTCGTAGCTTTGTTCGCCACTCAGAGTCACTGGCATGAGATAAATGGCTATACAAACTGAATAAATAAAAAATAAATAAAGTCTGCAAAGGGAAGTGCATGATGTCCAAACAGCCCTTTAAGATGAAGTGTCATTTCAGTTTCCAGGATTAATTTAATGTAGGAGTTACCCTTTTACAAAAGGAAAGTTATTTTGACGACTACAATAAGGATGTGAGAAAGTATGTAATGTACTTTATAATGTTCTTAGGTGGTATAGTTTGTGTGTACATTTCAGTGAAGAAACAGGGAGGAGATCTCAGAAGTATATTTATTTATTGAATTTATATTTCCGCCTATTCGCCCATGGCAACTCAATTCAAGTCGCCCATGGCGACTTACAGAATATAAAAGCACTTTTAAAACAATAAAACTAATAAAAAGAATCAAATAAACGAATATAGTATAATATAATAAAATCATCCCTCACCCGCTGCCCCGGTGACAGCAGATCACACGAGCCATTTAATGGGCTCCATCCCGCTCTGGGTTCCCCAGGCCCGCTGGCAGAACTAGGTCTTCAGCACCTTCCAGAAGAGTATTAGAGTGGGGGTCATTCTAATCTCTGGGGGAATGATGTTCCAAAAAGAGGGAGCCACCATGGAGAAGGCCCTTCTTCTGGGTCCCACCAGGTATGTCTCCCTTGGGGATGGGACCCGCAGCATTTCCTGCCTGCCCACTCTGATGGGTCGGGTAGATGTGACCGGCAAGAGATGGTCCCTCAGATAACTTGAGGGACTAATATGACCTAATATGACCTAATAACTTAATATGAATTGTACTAAATATATTTTTCCATTTTGTCCTTCTACAGGGCCATGCTTAGTACAACTAACAAATGTTAGGCACGAACAAACCAGGCAGCATTGCTTTCTCCAAATTCTTTGTATCTTATTTCTTGGCAGCTGTGTAATATTAAAAATGAAGAGCCTCACTTTAAAACAGAGGTGGCCATTCTCATTCAGCACCATCAATACTGTTGAAAATACTTGCTTCTCATAGCTTGAATCAATGGCTATACGTAAAAAGTTTCACTTTTTCTCACATTCAGGCCCTCTACCCTGCTTTAGTTTTATGTTCTTTCTGTCCTCTTTGTGGAGAAATTATTTTCGTGAATGAAGGCAAATATAGGTGTTCCAGGATAATGTTGCAGGATCCAATCTGGGTCAGTCACTGGGACCAGAGGTATAGTCTTCCGAGCTTTCGGACTTGTGCTGGACTCCATCCTCAGGGAACTTCTCTCTACCAGGAATGTGTCACTCAGTTCCATGAGGATGGGCTCCAGCAGGAGTCCAAAAGCTGGGAAGACTAAATCTCTGGTCCCAGGGATTGAACTGGTTTGGATCCTGCAAAATTATTTTCATTGTTTTTGTACCTCTGTATTTTATATTTTGATAAAGTAATGAAAATAAAATTAAAAAAAGAAATTTGTGAATTTATTTTAAATGTCCTACTGGAATTGTAACCTCCAGTTCTGTTGCAAAAATATTTTACAAAGCGTGGTTGCAAATTTCTGGTAGCCATTTTTGCAGCTCAAAAGATTGCAGGATGTGCTCAGAAATAAATCTAAATAACATTTAGTATGCCTTCCAAGTGAGTTTGTGTAGGATTGCAGCCCCAGCTTTTAGAGTATGGTTTAGTTGAATTAAATATAAAGAAAAGGAACAGTGGGAGAGAATTTGTTCCTAATGCTCTGTGTGCTTTTGGATCTATTCACAGTCATTTCTCCCAAGTAGTGAAACATCACCTTGACAATTTTCTTTGACCCAAAGTAAAAAAAAAACCAGGAGATTTAACAAATCAGCTTGGAAGAATCCTCTGGCACATATGTTTCTTAGTACTGTTATGCTTCAAGTCAGCACCATTATAATTTTTCAATTGTCTTTGTTGCAATTTTAAAAGAAAAGAAAGAAGAGAAAGGCATCTTTAACAGCAAAGTCATAACATTTCAACAACAAGCTGTGTCATTGTTCAAACAGTTCCCTGAGTTCCCAATCAGTGGCAGTGTTATGTAAGGTGGCAGGTTAATAAATGCGACACACTGAAATCATTTGTACCAGATTATCTCTCCTTCCAATCTCTGACAGATGCTAAGTCCAGCTGGTAAAGAAAAGTTTATAGGCGAGCTGGATCTGGGGCCTTCACACACTCCACAATGTTGGCTACCAATGCTGGTTTTAATGAGTCACGAATTGCCTGTTTATCTTCTGCTCCCTGCTGTTTCTGCATTTTCTCTTCCAGAACAATCCTAGAAACACATGCTGCTACAGACGCTGGAGCAATGTGTGTAGACATTTGAGCCAAATTATTATAAAGAACTCTTTCTTCTCTGATATTAAAAAAAAAAAAAGAGTGGAGGGGGAGGGAGAAAAGCCCATTGCCTAGCAAATCGTTCTCTCAGATGTTCACTCTGACATGCTCAATATGGCCTGCCACAGAAAGTTGGAGACATTCGGAACCTTAACAACTACCAAAAAATGACAGTGTAATTGGCAAGTTTTGTTGTTCATGTTCTGGCTCAGCTAAAAAGTGCTCTAAACACTTTGTTTAATGATGTTATATTATGACAACACATGGCTTCTATACAGCAAGTCATCATGTTTAACATGCGTCCACACAGGAACGGGAGCAAGCAGCCAGAAAATGGTAACAAATATAGGAAAACAAAGCTTAGCGAAGTGACCAGAAGCTGCCGCATCCAATCCCTTGATAGCAGAAGATGATAGGCATTGCTGGTGTGTTGAAGGCAGCAGGAGAGAGACAGTGTTGCCTGTGTAGTAGTGTGTACAGTCATCCCGTGAACACTGTTGAAAAACAGGTTTTTGTAATGCTATGGAAATCTGACAGACCTACTTGATAGTCAGAAGGCAAAACTGTCTGTTTCCTACTATTTTTGATGCCCTTCAAAATTATTACTAAAGTTTTTCAGCGACTCATAGACAGCTCTCCCAATCTGCAGGGTGAGGCAACTCCTTCATGCAGTAGGAGCTGAGATGCATGAAATCAGGGTTGTCTTGGGGTTCTCACCAGAGATGAAGATGCTACGCCACCCTTTCCCCAGTACACAAACAGATGGACTGACAACTAAATTTTATTTCAATGTCAGTGGAGAAATAGCGTCTCCTACCACAACTGATGCAGCATGCTAATTTAGCAGGGCCAAGACAGGTTGTGTGACAGTTGTGTAGCAACACATGAATCCTGAGAAGTTGTGAATGCTGTTCCCTTCCAGCTTGTCTGAGGCAGTCACTCCATGTGCCTCTTAAGAGGTCGTTGTCTCCAGTGCATAGAAGTTCCTGGTCCTTTGCCAGTGTTGAAATGTTAACCTTTCTAATGATATTGTGTGTGAAGAATGTGCATCCTTTCATTTGCCCTAAGCAGCTAAATTATTTAAAATAGTCCTGCTCAAAATTATGCCATCATTCCAAGGTAACTTTCCAGGAGAGGATAGCTTTAGAAAGCCAATCTGGCATCTTTTTACTAGATTGATTCTATTAGATTAGAAGCCCATTGGTACAGCTAAGTCACATTTAAGTCTGCCAAGCAGAATTATAGCTAAACATACACTTAGATGTTTTCTTTCTTTAAAAAACCTTAAATTTTTGGATTGGGAAAAAGAACACTCCAAAATTAAGGCATTACAATTGGGTACTATCATTCTGACACATCTTCTGGGCAAATCAAGAACCATATGTGGCTTCGGCCTTTGTTTTGTGAATCCCAACCCCATTTCCAGATCAGTCCACTGATATGTACCGGTAGGAGAATTTGGTTTTTAGTTCTCCTCCCCTCTCCTCAGATCAAGCAATATACGGGCATACAAGTTCATGGCATGGGATTGGATTACCTGCCTCTCTCTGAATATATCAGCCCATCACATTAGATCTGGCAGAAAAGCCATGTTGTGGGAAACATCTACCAGGAACTTATATTTGGTGGGCCTAGGAGGTGGGTATTCTCTGTATGACATCCTCCCTATGGAGCATGAAACACCTTCGTTATCATTCAAGTCCCTTAAAGCTTGGTTATGGTACCATCCCTGGGGGTCCCAGAGAACCAGATATGTTTTTTGATGGTTCTATGTGGTTTGCACATTTAAAATTTTTCCACTGTTTTTTTTTCATTTTAATAATGATTTTTAATATCTTTATAGTGATTGTTTTTATATCTTTGTTGCTTTATTATCGTACACTGTCCAAAGTTGCTTTTTATGAGAAGTATGGCCATACAAATGTGATTAATAACCAAATAAAAATATAAGTTTCAAGAGTGGAAACAAGCAAGCACATTCTCTGCAGATTTTAATACTGGGGCAGGGAGATTGAACAAAACTTGAGGGAGGACCCTTTTTTTGAAATGTCCTCTGAAAACTACTTTGCAAAAAAGAGAAAAGAAGATGCCATATGTTTATCCAAGCTATACATGGTTTACAAAATAATTTAGAATTTAGGTTTTGAACCTCCTTATCACTAGGTTTGGAATAATACGGAGTAGAACAATATTTTTCTACTATAATTCATATAATACACAATACAGATACCTTAACAAGACTACATTCTTAAGCTTTGATACAAGAGAGAGAGAGAGAGAGAGAGAGAGAGAGAGAGAGAGAGAGAGAGAGAGAGAGAGAGAGAGAGAGAGAGAGAGAGAATGAATATATATATATATATATGCTGTATCTGTCTGTGATGACAGAACAATTGCCAGATCCTTAGTTTTCCCAAGATTCTATTTTGCATTTGCTTGCGGGTAGAATACAGATTTTGATGTCCTCATTAAGAAATGGCAAAGAGAACATTTCCCCCAGTGTCCCCAATTATTAACAGAATGTTTTGAATTTGCCTATTCTTTGCACATGGGAAACTACATGGTCATTAGACAGATGTTGAAACTCACCAATTTTATATCCGGCAGCTGGAGAAGACAATGGATGTCATATGAAATATAGCCAGGGAAGGAGTTCATAATCTGCACTAGTAAACTGAAAATCATGACTTGTGATTGTTCACTGTCATCCAATAAAAGGCCACACCGCCGTGATGTGGTATTGTGTTATTTGCAGGATAATCTAAGGTCAGTGTTATTCAAGTAGCCAAATGATTATTAAGGGAGACACACAGACGAGCTTTTTACAATACGTCTAGCTTTATTTAGGTATTTAAAAGCAGCCACGATGGTGATGGGAAGGTGTACCGTTTAAAGATTGTCAACATCAAGATGTGGAAGGAGACAGTACGTTTAGCAACCAACCATGAAATCTTATTCTGCAGTTGCCTTCTTAATGGCATCTCTTAAGGTCAGTGGGTTTGAATTGCCCTGATTGTATCGGGTCACTCAGGAAGCATTGGCCATGGAGAAAAGCTTCAGACAGGGACAACAATGGCAGAAGTCACCCTTTAAGCGTTCGGCCTTCTATATCATCCAGTTGATTTCATGGCCCCCCACTATGATGTCACTGTTTGACCAGTTTGCTTTAAAACAGCTTAATTGGCTGAAAGGAAAGCTATGTCTAACCATGTTTGTGAGTTTATAAAAAAAAGAAACAAGGCAAAGCTTCAGAAAGATCATTGTCTGCCTTGCCGGAAACCTTAGATCTGAAACGAAGCAACATTCCTTTCATACAGAAAGAAGGCCTTGACAACAAGTTTCCTTGGGGAAATTACAGATTCTGAAAAGTGCTGATGTAGATATTGTCTTTGGACTATTGTTGACAAATTGGTGGGGGAAAAATCAATATAATCTGTGAAACGTATTTTTTTAAAAAGACACTAAAGGCATTTAATTACAAATATTTATTCTAAAATGTTTTCAAGCATGGTTTAAAACAACTGTTCCCTTAAATAAGATTCTGATGCGAATTAAACTGCATGTTAAATTTCTGATGAACTTGGCTTACCAAAATGGTGTTTAGCTACTGTATGTATAAACGTTCAGCCATATGCTTATCACAAAATTTTCTTTAGATGTTCCAACAAAGAACATATATTATGAATTTTGGCAAAATATTTCCTCAAGAAGAACCCTTTGGTATTTAAAGAAATGCCAAATGGACTCTAGCCTGCTAGGGCCATCTCAGGAGTTGATGATAGAAACAGGCAAACATTATCCCACCAGTCTTCTTCTGCGGTAAGGGACAGATGAGGAGAGGAAGGAGAAATTCAACTTCCCTGAAAGATGTTTAGACAATTTGAACATTTATTTCAAACTTCATTTTTTTTATCAATGAAGCAATTAATGGGTCAGTATTGTTTTTAATTAAGAAAAGGCAGATGAGGAAGTTTATAAATAAATAAAATAAATTAAAATAATGATCAACCATTTTTTGTTTTTTGTTTTCTCTTGCTCTTTTTCAACAGCAGAAGGAATCTTTGCTCAATTAGAAGTGTTCCTGGAATGGAAGGCATGGCACACTCCCACAACCCTTGTCACTTTGCAAACATACTACTGTAAGATGCTCCACAAGGGGCGGCCCCTGAAAACTAACTGGAAACTTTACTTAATACAGAAGGAAGCTCCTTGAGTACCACTGGGATCTTTCTGAAGTTGTCATAGAATGCTAGTAGTTTGGCATCTACAACAGCTGCTAGATTGTCTCAGGGTACAATCCAAGGAGCAAGTAAATAATTCACATAATCCTTCATGGCTTGAGGATGCGATAGCTGCAGGACCACTTATTCCAAGTAGAAGGGCTGGTGGGAAGGGACTTGGATGCAAATATTATCTGCCAAGCTCTTCTCCTGGAGAAAATCAGCATCCTTTTATCTTCAAAAGCTCATATTTACGGTGTTCAAATGTATTTTTTAAATCTACGTTTTGACCTCCATGAACCATTTCAAATAATCGGTGGAAGCTTTCATTCAAATTTCCAATTATCCATTTAAAAATTCTTTTTTCCCCAGCTCTGATGTCACATGTATTTCTTTTATCTTTAAGATTAAAGCCTTCATAATGAGAAATTAAGTCCTCCTTGCTCATATCTTTTGAAAGGTGAAGCAAAGGGTGATTAAATCAGAAACAAAGTCGGTAATTAGCGATATAAATCTCTGAGTGATTTTAGTAGGTCACAAATTGAACGGGTACAGACTTTGGACACATCTGCTCTTTTGGCAACTACTTCCCTTTCTGTAGGTTCTGATTGGATGGCTGTAATCATGTGATAGATCTCCTGGAAGTTATTTGTGTTCCCTGAGCTAAAGACAAGCAAGTTGGTGAAACTCAGCATGTCTAAAACATGTCAAACCTTCCTGTAACAAATAGAACAAAATTCTTAGTAACTAAAAGCCACAGCATCTAATCCTCTGCAGTCTTTTTAGAAGACATACCAAGGGAAATAAGCGTAGGGCTTTATAACAATAGATAAATTACAGCATATTGCTTGCCTTTTTTTTTCCAGTGAGAGAAGAGATAACTTAAAAAAAAAATAAGATGGTTAAATCAATTTACAGGTAGTCTCTGGTTAGCAATTTCTGTTGCTAAGAGATGCAATTATAAAGTGTGATATCATGTGATTGCATCGCTTAACAATGGCAATTCTGGCAATCCCAGTTGTTTTTGTAACCTGAGGGCTATCCAGGTTGTTAAATGAGGACCTTACCTAATCACAGCTTCCAGCTTCCTGCTGGCTTCCCCATTGACTTTGCTTGTGGGAAACCAGCAGGGAATATCAGAAATCATGTAATTGCAGGGATGCTGTGACCGCCAGAACTGTGAGGACCGATTGTAAGTACCACTTGTTAAGCACCATGGTAATTTTGAAGAGTCGCTGAATGAATGGTTGTACCCTGAGGACTACCTGTACTTTTGATCTGATATTGTTTGAGTACTATAGTAATTGGATTCCATCTTTACTCCAATTTATATCTTGTAATTTAATGGCATTACTTAGAGCATATTGCTATGAGGCCATTCGCTTCCTCCATATGGTTTATTTGTTTTATGAGTACCTGTTACTTCCCCTGAGATTTTAGTATAGCATTTTAGCTACTTAACAACAACTTTAAAAATTACTTTTGGAGATGAAGATTTGTCCAAGTCACATTCCAGGTCACATTGTGGCCTGGTGGCTCAGCAGACTAAAAGCATTGTGATTAACACCAGCTGTCTGCAATTACTGTAAGTTCGAATCTCACCAGGCTCAAGGTTGACTCAGCCTTCCATCCTTTCTAAGGTAGGTAAAATGAGGACCCAGTTTGTGGGGGCAATAAGCTGACTTTGTATAAATATACAAAAGTATGAAGGCTATTGCTTAACGCATTGTAAGCCGCCCTGAGTCTCCGGAGAAGGGCAGCATAAAATCAAATCAAATCAAATCAAATAAATAAATAAATAAATAAATTGTAAGCTTCATGGCAGATGTGAGATTTAGGCATTCCATGTTCAGTCTGAATCCAGAATACATCAATATCAACAGCATGATGAGTTGTTTTTATTTAATGGTTCTTGCATTCCTTTTTAAAGGTTATTTTATATTCCTCTATGTATATATAGATAGAGGAATGTATAGAAATTAGCCCTTAGAAAGGGCTAATTTCTGGTTGATATTTTGTGTTCCTATCATGATGATTCATGCACCCAGATCAACATCATTCTTGGGTGTATGTGGGTGAGTCTTTCAGATCTTCTAATAGAGAACACAAAACCTCATGGTCAATTATTCACCAATAAAAGAAACAAATCTGACCAATAAAGCAAACAGATCTGGTAATAATGACTCTCCTGTAGCATCCAAATCAAAAAGATTACAAATGCATTGACAGTTCCATTTGGAAGGAAAAAGCCACAGGGAGAAATGTTGTCTGAAGATAGTGAAAAGAGGAACAATATGGGGAAATGTTGTTCTAACAGAGCTTTGGTAAAGTGGTGACAATACTGCTACAGAGAATTTCATCCTCTCCTGTTTGGTCTGGTCCATGAGCATGTCCAGAACAGTGTAATCTTTGCAACACAAGGAGGAATTGGGATAGACAATGTACTACAAAGCCCTTCATTTTCAAGTTGATAGAGGCCTTGGTTATTGAACATTGCTAGTTGTTGTAGTTAATGATAGTAATAAGAGAAGAAGGTAGATGCCAAATGTAACTTGGAGGCTTTCTTGAAAAATATGTTGTTTTTTCGTCATTTGGATTTTGAATTTTTTTTTCAAAGAAATTGAAGAAAAAATCTGAAGCATGCTGAAGAGAAAACAAAATAACATTTGCAGTTCTTCAGGGAATTTAAGATTTATCTTGAGAGGTGCCTCATCAATTCATTCCTTTTTTTGTTGTGTATGTATGATTCACTGTCTTTGTCAAAATGTGCATTTTCTAGAAATATTCACTTCTCTGTTCTCTGGCAGCCCCAGAGGAGTGGCAAAAGCAATTATTTAATGGTGGAAGCCAATCTGAATATTCAAAACTCCAAAATAGATCTTGGAGTAAGGCTTTCTGAAGAAAACAAAATGGCAACCATTCCATACCTCTACCTCCCTTGAAAGAATATTGCCTCATATCTGAAATAAAGCTAAAATGAAAGAATTGGTTTTAATGTAGGTGATTAATTATCCTTCTCCATTAAATTTAGCCCATATACATGGGTAGGAACAAATATATATTTTATCATTCAGTGTGAGTTTGATAAACTTCCTTGGATCATTCTTGAGTCATCTTTCATTACAGCACAAGGCTCATATGTTGTGCTGTACAGAACATGGTGACTGCTCTGGCAGACACTGTGTGAGCATCATGCAGTTCAAAAGGACTCTGTTCACCATGGAGCTTTGGCTTTTTTTCTTACAGAGTCCTAGCCTTTGTTTAGGTGTCAAAGGAGCAACCCTCTCATCTCTCAGATTGATGGCATCGTCTAGGACTTCCCACATAGACAAGATAAACTAAAGGCTTCTGCAGACAGGTATGTAACTGTGGAGACATCATCACTGCAGAAGAAGACTTCTGATCAGAGTGAATGTTTGTCCCCACAGTCAACCTTCTGGCAGAATGGTCACCTTTGACATGACTCGTTGAATAGGAGTTTGTTTTTTAATTTTCATGGTTCAGCCATAGGCCAGGAAAAGTAAATATATGTAGGCTGACAACAGTGGTTTTAAAGCAAAGTAAGACAAAAGTCCCCCTCTTTTCCTCCCCTTCTTGAATCTGTGGACTATTTTGGAAATGGTCACGTAGGAATCAATCTAATTTTAAGCATTTGAAGTGACTTGATGGCAAATATTTAGAAGCAATATTGATAATTAGTGGATCCAACAAGAATTCCTATTCAGTAGATACGATTCAGCCACATTGATTATGCCACTGAAGCTATCTCATGATTAGACAGAAATGTATCCTGGAAAATTTATAGCTTATGATTGTATAAATAATGTTTTAACTGTCACCACACATATAGCAAGATTGCATACATTGTGTTCCTTCTCAAAATAGTTCAGAGGTGGTGCTTCAGATCTTGTTCAAGCAGAGCACCTCTCTGCTCTTCATTAAAGCAGCATGTCTTTTTTTCTGGTTTCCAAGTGATTCTGCAAAATGAGGTGTCTGCTTTCAGTAGTCAACTCCCTCAAACTTATAAATGAGCAACAATCAGTAATTGAGAATTTAATAAGAAAAAATGAACAAGAAAAAGCACACAAAATATTGTCTTATAGAATCCTAAGAATAAATGGGTAAGGAATTTTGTGCCAGCATTGTATTAGTTAACACTGAGGAGAGGAAGGGAGAGTGATAAATGTAAAAAGGACTTGACAATAGGCCTCCAAAACACATGCTAATTCTAGTTGGGTTGAAAAAAGCTCCATAATTGCAACATGGCATTCTCATTGAGAGAGGTGGGGGAGGAAAAGACAACCCAGCAGAAAAGGGCAATGCCTACCTCCTATAGCTACTGCCTCTTCTCCCGTATCTGGAGATTCCTTTTGGTACCAGGGCTTTGAAATTGCTTCTTTGATGAGGGCTTTCTGGAAGGCCAGAGAACTTAAAGGCCGAGGGCTTTCTGGAAGGCCAGAGAACACCCAAAGTCTTTCTCTAGAAATGATTTGAAGATGATGCCACCCATACACTTTCCATGAATCCATAGCTAAACCAAATAATAAATAATAAAACAAAATAATAAAGACAAAGAGACCACCAGAGAGATCTCTATGACAAGAAAGTGTTACCTCTCTTTTTTTTTCTTCTTTCCCTTCTGTCCTAAAAGTACCTTTCTACAAATGACACTTACACGTAACAATAGGATGAATGTTTATTGTAGGCCAGTGATGGCTAACCTTTTTGCCATCACATGCCAAAAGCGGGGGGGAGCACGGGAGGGTCACGCGTGTACATGCCCACACCCATAATTCTATGCGCCCTGCCCACCAGCACATGAACGCATGACACCCCTCCCTGCACTCCCCCTGCTTTTGGCACGTGATGGCACAGTGGGCCTGGTAGGCCCATTTTTCTCCCTCCCCAGGCACCAGAGGCTTTCTAGGAGCCTGGGGAGGACAAAAATGGCCTTCCCCACCCCCCAGAGGCCCTCTGGAGGCCGTAAACAGCCCGTTTGCTGACTTCCAGTGGGACCGGAAGGCCCGAAAATCAGCTGGCCAGCGCACACATGCGTGCCAGAGATGAGCTTGCATGCCCACCGATATGGTGCCGCGTGCCACCCGTGGCACACCTGCCATAGGTTTGCCATATGGTTATAGGTATTGCTTACAGTACAGGTAGTCCTCGACTTACAACAATTTGTTTAGTGACCGTTCGAAGTTACAATGGCACTGAAAAAAACGACTTGTTCATATTTATGATGGTTGCAGTGTCCCGGAGTGATGTGATCATTTTTTGTGACCTCCTGACAAGCAAAGTCACTTAACAATCGGGTTACTGATTTAACAAATGCAGTGATTCACTTAACAAAGGTGGCAAGGAAAGTCGTAAAATGGGGCAAAACTCACAACAAATTTCTCACTTAGCAACACAAATTCTTGGCTCAATTGTGGTCCTAAGTTGAGGACTACCTGCATATATACAGATAAGGATGGAAGATCCTTATGTATCTTGCTAGTTTCTGATTCAGGCACTACTCTTCTGTTCAGATGTCAGCCTTTTTTTATTTAGGCAGAGTGCACTTCCAACTAACTCCTAAAAAAAAAAAAAAACATCACATTTTTAAAAAGTCCTATTATTGCCAATGGAAGGATTTTCAGATTTTAATTGCTGTGCGTAGCACAATTTTTAAAGCCCATCATTTTAATAAATACTCAGATTTTTAACCATTCCAGACCTACTATTTCCCCAGTGCTCAATTCCCCTCTACCTTTGTATCTCTTTATTTATTGTAAAGTACAATCTCGTTTCTCCCATATTTTTTAATCTCTAAATTAAAATGCATTATGTGCTGGTCCACAAAATAGGGAGCAGGCCTGCTAGCTATTTTTTTTTCCTTTGAAAATGTGAACCGTGGATGTAAGTGTGCATAAAATGTACTTGCAAACTTTTAAAACTTGAATGCCTTGTCTGATTTTATCCTTCCCTATTGTTACTCTGCCCTTTATTAATTTGCGAGGTAATTTGAGATAATTCACCTCCAAATCAGAAAGTAAAGAAACTATTTCCCAACCTAGTGAAATTACAATGTATACATCAATTATGTGCATATCATTATCCTATTAAAGCTTGCCTCACATTTCCATGGTCAAGCCATGATAGTCTAGAAGTATATATTCACATATGCAAATCAATGTGAGTAGATAGTTTATAATGTTTGACAGCAGTGTTTTCAGTTTAAAATAAGAACATGTTTGTGAAAATAAAATCAAAGTATCTCTGTTTTACAATATTACCTCTTCTCTCTTATAGTGAATGCATTTCAGGACCACCATTTAAAGTTCCCCTGTAAGATTGGCAATCTGTGATAAAGGAAGTTTATTACAAAAATGTACCACAACAACTACACTCACCAATAAACAAACAGAGCTCACCTTGAATTGACTCAGATTTTTTTGGTCTGACCACCTGCCAGGAAATGTGCAGCAGTCTGCCTGACCCTGTTCTTAAATCACTTTTGAAAGCTAGAACATATAAAACGGGATGGATTATGGCCTGGTTAAAGAAAAGCAAGAGATTTACAACTCTACAATATTTCTCGCTTTTGAAAATTAAACGGCATGATGGAGACACTAAAAAGGGAGTTCACAGAAAGGGGCAATCCCATGCATGACCAGTTCAACATTCAAGACCTTCATGGAGAGGAATGGCACCAGCGTATAAATGAAAAAAGAAGTTATTGTTTGGCAAGCGGATGGCTATAGAGATGAAAAACATTCTATGCTTTTCGACAGACCATGTAGCATTCATAAAAAGGAATTCTTTTTTTTTTTGTGTTAAAAAAACAAGTACTACCAACTTGCCTTCCATAGAGGATCTGTATACTGCATGAGTCAAAAAGAGGGCTGTGAAAGTATTTACAGACCCCTCACATCCTGGACATAAACTGTTTCAACTTCTACCCTCAAAACGACACTATAGAGCACTGCACACCAAGACAACTAGACACAAGAACAGTTTTTTCCTGAACGCCATCACTCTGCTAAACAAATAATTCCCTCAACACTGTCAAACTAGTTACTAAGTCTGCATTACTATTAATCTTCCCATCGTTCCCATCACTCATTTCCTCCCACTTATGACTGTATGACTGTAACCTTGTTGCTGGTATCCTTAAGATTTATATTGACTGTTTCCCTATGACTATCATTAAGTGTTATACCTTATGATTCTTGATGAATGTATCTTTTTTTTAATGTACACTGAGAGCATATGCACCAAGACAAATTCCTTTCAAAGTCCAATCACACTTGGCCAATAAAGAATTTTATTCTATTCTATTCATCTCTCCCAAGGCAAAGAGTGGTTGGCATTTTAAGAGGCTTTTTGCAGACTCTTCATTGATGGAATGAAACAATAACAGCCTGGGAAGAGAGACCATGACTTGTCCATCAAGCTATCATAGGATGGTCACTTTTAGGTTATTCTCTTTCTGGCAAAATAGACAGCTCTCTCCAAAGCAGGATACTGATTAACAAAGAAAACCTACAAAGTGATGCAGAACAGAAAGGGTGTTTCCCAAGGAACATAATTGTGTTTGGGTGGGATGCTTGCTAGCTTTTGCTGCCTCTTTCTTTGTATATACAAAAATGCAGGGCTCAATTCTGTAATACCCTTTGCCAAATTACAGATTGAGGTAATCTGGTCCAAGTTAATGAAAGTCTCCTTTGCAAAGTTTAACAGCACTTGATTATTTATCTGTGAAGTCCTCCTACAATGAAATCATGCATGAGGAAATTTCTGCAGCAGTTAATTTAGGGTAAAATATCAAGTAATTTGTTAACGGGCATGTGTAGCAACACGTGCCAGGTCACGCTGGATTTTCTTTAAAAATAAAAAAAAAATAACAAAGTTAAACTTTCAGTCAACCTGAAAATATTTGCTTTTTATGGGGCAGTGCGGAACGAATGGGACACCAAATCTTTTTTTTTTTTTTCAGTGAACTATTTTCACAAAGTGAAAGCTGTGTGGAAGAAAGCAAGAAGAAAAGGAAAGGGAACCTGGAGATATGGGAGGAATGGGAAAGGAACAACACTGAGGCAAATAATTTTCTTTAAAAAGAAAGAAAATTATGAAGGAGGCACAATTTATAGATAAGAAGTATTAGAAAAGCATTTGATGATGAATTTTGGACATTTCTAGGCAACAAGAGGGAAAACAAAGAGACGCCAAACATACAAGATATGTTAAAATCTATTTAATGTGGCGCATATTTTGAGGGTATGTGTGTGAGCAAATTGCCTACAGTGACCTTCACACAAAAAATTGCAGAAAGTAATTGAAACATTAAAAAACCAATATACAATATATCAGGCAATCTTTGTTGAATTCAGTTAATATTATCTAAATGAAATATTACACCATGAATAAAACCCCCATAATTTATTAAGCCCAAATAACCTGGTCACTTTCCATAGATTATTTTTCAAACCTGCAAAAAATCAGCAAAGAACAATTAATTAGGGAACTTGCGTCTTAACTCAAGTACTAAAAATGAAAAAGGGATCTTTTTTTAAAAAAACAGCAACCACAAACCAACTTGAATTCTGGTTTTAGCTGACACATACTGGCTATCAAGTATGTATACCACAGTTTGCATTTCTCAGATAATTTCTTTTTAAGTTTTTCATAAACCACTAGACGTCAATCCACCCACCATTTTTCTTTTGCTAGTTTTGAAAGGGCTGTGTAATTTTCCTTTATAGCTAGCACAATTGTCACATTTTAATTATGTTGATTGTTTTAAATTAGATCCTGGTATCCATGGTTAGCCATTAAGCATTTCATTCTATTTCTTTACGTCACTTTGTTCTTCATATCTAGACCAAACCTGTATTGTTCTTACCAGAGTAAAATTCATCTTATATGGACACCAATCTCAAAGAAGGTACCTCGCAGACCTATGTCTTATTTGTGTTCCATTGTGGTTGTGAGCGGCTGCTCCTCAGAGTCATTTCCCAAAATCAGAAGCTGCAAAATATTGCCTCTCTTGGCCCCTGCTCCTATTGACCCTCTTTTTCTTTGTCTCACACACGAACCTATCTGCTCAAAGCAGGAATGCTGGATGGTTTTGACCTCCAGCGTCCATACAATGGGCGATGGACAATACAGAAATAGGCCTTTTTTCCCCCTGCTATACAGACCTGCTTTTGTACTTTTGATCTTTGGAGCCCTCTGTGAGCTCACAGAGTGTCTGGGAGATAGATGTGATCTGTTAGCCTCATCCATAGCTGACAGCAAGCCACTTTCACACAGTCAGGCAGGTATGGCTGTGGCTGGATAACAGATGAGAACTCATGGGGAGCCCTTGACTGTGGAGAATGAAGAATCAAAGGTAACCATATTGGATGCAGATACAAAGGAGCTCCCTCTCCTCTCCCCTCCCTTCCTTTTCTTTTCCTCCCTCCCCCCTCCCCTTGGTCTTTCTGGTTTATTCCATGTTCTTCCTTGCTATGTTAAAACATAGATGGAAAAGTGTTTTCCCCTTGGAAGAATCTGAACATTCTAGAAGCCAGCATGCCTTCTCTATTTGTCTTGCCTGCCAATGTTGCAAGAAAAGCGGTACTTCTGAATGAGTCATGGAGATGGTAATGGCAACTCCCCAGGGTTGTCACTCAATGTTCTCAATGCAGAATTTCTGGAAAATATTGACATTTATAAGAAATGTTTTGGGCATAAAATTTAACTTGATTTCATTATATCTAATGTATTATTTTGCTTTTAGATAGTTTAGATAGCAGCCATTAATGTTTCTATTTCTCCTTCCCCAACCTGATGATTTGTGGGTGTGTTTGGACATCATCTTCTACTACTTCTACCACTTGCCTACATTAGCTAGAAGTTCTGCTGTGTTCAAAGAGCAATGGTTTGAGGAATGCTTAAGTAAATTCTGATCAACACAATCCCATACCCATGTATATTGAAAGTATATCCCATTGTGTTCAGTGCACTTATATCCAGGTAAGTCAGGAGGAGATTAAACCTCAGCTATTAAGTCTACCCTGGTTCCTACCAAATTACTTCATTTCAATGAACAAAGGCTAAAAATCCATGGAAAACAAGTGGATTGAGGCTGTATCATAAAGAAAATGAATTAGGATAACATTTATTCAGTTTTGAATTATGGGTGCAAAGGAATGGTGAAATCCAATTTTTTTACTATTTGTTCTGTGGGCGTGGCTTGGTGGCCATGGTGTAGCTTGGTGGGCGTGGCAGGGGAAGGATACTGCAAAATCCCCATTCCCTCCCCATTCCTGGGGGAAGGATACTGCAAAATCCTCATTCCCTCCCCATTCCTGGGGGAAGGATACTGCAAAATCTCCATTCCCACCCCGCTCTGGGGCCAGCCAGAGATGGTATTTGCCAGTTCTCCGAACTACTCAAAATTTCCACTACCGGTTCTCTAGAACCTGTCAGAACCTGGTGGATTTCATCCCGGTGCAAAGGAGTGGGACATTGGGTTATCTGTGTTGATTCTCAGTTATCCAAGTCACGGTTGTCCCAAAGGTGCTCTTTGAAAAGCCATCTGAACTTTCTTTGTTTTTGCTTGAAGATGTTTCACTTCTCATCCGAAAAGCTTTTTCAGTACAGTTCAGAACTGAAGAAACTTCTTGGATAAGAAGCAAAATGTCTTCAAGCAAAAACAAAGAAAGTCCAGTTGCCTTTTGAAAAAGCATCTTTGGGACATCTATAAAACGACAGCACAAAACTTCTAAACTGCATTATTGACTATATGGCCTGCAGTTTCCTCGTGTGTTTTCTTTTTGTAGATGTAAAGATGCAGGAACATCTCAGCAGGTCTTGAATAACTGTCTGACAATTCTCTGTCTGAAATGACCGAGAATTAGGCCCAGTAAAAAGTAAAGTAAGTAAAACTATCAAGGAAATCCAGGCTTGTAGGCTAGATTAAGAAGTGATGGGATATCTTGAAAGAAAACAATACAAGTCACTTCTCTATTGTTGTCAAGAAAACTATACGGATGTGCCCATAAATACATCAGGAGTTGAGCTCAGTTTACATGAATGTCTATGGAGATTCTCAGTCATCCAGGTCATGGTTGTCCCAAAGGTGCTTTTTTCAAGAGGCAACTGGACTTCAGAGGTTCAAAAAACAGAAAGTCCAGTTGCCTCTTGAAAAACGCACCTTTGGGACACTTTACATGAAGTTTTATATGTGCAGGGGTTGATGCTAGTCGAAAGCATCTTATGCGGAAAGGAAAGCCTTAAATATTCTCCCCAGTCACATGTGATTGACTTCAGAGCTTCAGAGCTGAAGAAGCTTCTTGGATGAGAAGTGAAACGTCTTCAAAGAAAAACTCCCTTCCTCTTCTTCATGAAGAGATTTTAAAAAGAAAACTTTAAATTTCAGCAAAGGAAAACCAATAATTACCAGTAACTGGATGCACTGAAAGGAGACTGTGGGTTCCATGCCATTCTGGGTACTTAAATTTCTGGGCTGAGAATGCTTTGAAATCCAACGCAACATCACAATTCTGTGCATACCTGCTCAAAATGTTTAAGAGTGCATGGGAGTCCTGCCTTAGTGTATATCTTTTGCCTTCATTTCAACAATGGCTTTTATAAAAAGCACAATTTTTCTCACTGGCCAAAAGTCCCCTCTGACATATATACTATGTTTTCCCGAAAATAAGACAGGTTTTATTTTCTTTTGAACCCCGAAATAAGGGCTTGGCCTCAGGGGTGAAATGTAAAATTTGTTACTACCAGTTCTGTGGACATGGCTTGGTGGGGAGGTGGGGGTAATGTGACTGGGTGGGCGTGGCCAAGTTTTTTTTTTTTTTAACTTTTCAAAGCATTTTTTCTAATGCTTTGAAAACCCTCTCTGACGATCAGGCAACTCAGCTGGGATCGTCAGAGAAGCTTTTTTAAAAATGCTTTGAAAAGCTTCTCTTGCGATCAGGCAACTCAGCTGGGATCGTCAGAGGCTTTTCAAAGCATTTTTTTTACCACCTCTTCGGCCAAGAGGTTGCAGAAAAAAATGCTTTGAAAAGCCTCTGATGATCCCAGCTGAGCGGCGCGATAATCAGAGGCTTTTTTTTTTACTTTTAAAAGCATTTTTTTGTTGGAAGAGGTTATAGAAAAAATACTTTTAAAAGTTTTTTTAAAAAGCCTCTGATGATCGTACAGCTCAGCTGAGCATGGTGGGGGGGGGGAGGCGCAGGGATTTTTGTTACCTTTTCTCCGAACCACCAGCCGCCATCGTTACTGGATCTGGCGATCCGGTCTGAACCGGGAGCATTTCACCCCTGCTTGGCCTTATTATCGGGGGGTTTGGCAGAGAGAGGCTCCCTCCATATTCCATCAAGTTCTGTCCCTCCTGCGGGGTAGAATGCAAGCGGCCCGAAGGCACCAAACTATACGAGCACCTGTTCCCTCCCCTGTTTGCGCGCCTCTTAGACCTCACCATATCAATGTGGGCAAAGCTGGTGAGCACCCAGTTGGAAGACACTGGAAATGGAGAAGACGCTGGCCAGCCGCCTGCTGCCAAGTCTTCTGGGAGCCAGGGCAAAGAGTCTTCTGGCAACCGGGCAGAGAGGCGTCAAAGGGCGAAGGGAGCGGCATCCCCGCATGGGAGACCACACTGCTACTATCCGAGAACTGAGGATGGCTTCCTCTGCGGCTTACAAAACCCGGCTGGAAGCTGCTGGAAGCAGAGAAAAGGCCAGTCGGGCCAGCCACTTGCTGTCGAGTCTTCCGGGAGCCGGGGCAGCCACATGCTCTCTTTCAAGCGGGGCAGGAATTTGCATGTGAGAGGGATGGATGGATGAATGGATGGGAGGTGGGCGAGCGCCAAGAACACTGGGGAGAGAGAGAATGAGAGGCAGTTCCCGATCAACTTAGTTGATCCGCGGGTCGCGATTAAGGGGCCCAGCTGCCATTAGCTAACTGGGGAAGGGAAGGGCTGTTTCCTGTGCTGACCATGCCCACCCTTTTTACTAGGGCTTATTTTCAGGGAAGGGTGTATATTTATGCCCACCCCAAAAATCAGGCTTGGCTTTATTTTCAGGACATGTCGTATTTTCAGGGAAACACGGTAGCAAAAAGAGGAAAAAAATATAGAAAAAATGATATATATATATAAAGCCCCTGAAACTATAGACATATTCTGGGCATTCTTAACAATGTTGTGAAGGAGTTAATTTTATGTTGTCTAGGACTGGAACACATTTGCTGTCCTTATTTAGATAATATGAAGCTGTCTCTCCCGCTAGTCTATTAAGATTAAGCAAACTGTTTCTCTTCATTAGGAAGCCTAATGACCAGACAGTCAGAGCTGTATAGCCAATGCATTCCCTTGCCATGCAATCCAGGGAGGTCATTTTCCCATCCTCACCTGCAAAAGAAAATTCTCAGTCCTAGCAACTTTAGTCACCTTTCCTCAACAGGACTCTTTGAGTCTTAGATTTAAAATTCAGTTCTTGTTTCTAAATGAGGTGGCTGATACATGTTGTCATGAAAAGGGTTTGTGTTCTACTAGCTGATGTCAAACTGATGGTTCCTGGTCCCAGAAGTGTCATGCCCAGTTTAGTTAATAGCAGATTGTCAAATAAAGTGATAAATCTCCTTACTCAGTGACTTTTGCACAGCTTCCTCAGCGTCCCCCTAATTCAGCATGACAAGTAGGCTTTCTGCATCCAGGGTATCTGACTATCTCCAGCAACCATCAGGGATATCAAGAGAAGTACACGAACGTTTTGAAGTAGCAATACCTATGCAGTAATCTATTGTTTTAGAACTGATTATCAATCAGTAAGGCAAGTATGGCTCCCATCTTTAGTCAACACTAAATGCTGCAGAAACCCTTTATATAACAGCTTTCAGGGATATTTATTTTAGACCTGAAAATAATATCATTGAGAAAGGAAAATGGAA